TTGATTTTTCTCTCGTTTAGCGGAAGTGTCCATCGGTATAAAATAGCCAATCTACCAGTCGTAAAGAAGTAAAATCTCTATGACGGGACCGTGGATTTGTCGTGACGTTAAATATTGCATCTCGAAGAAATATGAGTCCGATCCACGTTAATGTTGAAATGGTAATTTTATTTGTGGTAAGCTAAAGGAACGACAGTTAGAAGGAAGAAAGGTGGGAGAAAATTTCCACAGGTAGACTGACTGCATTCATTCTTCAGGACAGAATATTAAATGAGCGATATTTCACTTGGCCTACGATCATTTCAATGTTATATAAAGTTATTCCATTTATTGAACGAATGAATACCTGCTGAGTAGACGGGGAGAACATAATGTTTACGAAATGCGATTTAAAATAATGTTATGCTCGAGTCAAAAGCCGCTGTTTTTGTTGATTCATTGCCCACGACGCTTGTGAAACCCGGGAAAACTCGATTATAAGTAAAGACAAGCACATGATCCCGATACCGGTACCGGTGCAGTGGACGTGCAAACGTATAAGTGTACGTCGTTGCACCTTTCTACGTGGGCTAGTATAGCGGATGTGGGTGGGCGGACCGGAATCGGATCTATAGTGGTAGACAGACAGACAGACAGACAGACAAACAGGCAGGCAGGCAGGCAGACAGGCAGGCAGGCAGGCAGGCAGGTAGGTAAGCAGGCAAGCAGGCAGGTAGGCAGGCAGGCAGGCAGACAGACAGACAGACAGGCAGGCAGGCAGGCAGGCAGGCAGGCAGGCAGGCAGGCAGGCAGGTAGGTAAGCAGGCAAGCAGGCAAGCAGGCAGACAGGCAGGCAGGCAGCCAGGCAGGCAGGCAGGCAGGCAGGCAGGCAGGCAGGCAGGCAGGCAGGCGGGCAGGCAGGCAGGCAGCCAGGCGGCAGGCAGACAGACAGGCAGTCAGGCAAGCAGGCAGACAGACAGGCAGGCAGGCAGGCAGGCAGGCAGGCAGGCAGGCAGGCAGGCAGGTAGGCAAGCAGGCAGGTAGGCAGGCAGGCAGGCAGACAGACAGACAGACAGGCAGGCAGGCAGGCAGGCAGGCAGGCAGGCAGGCAGGCAGGCAGGCAGGCAGGCAGGCAGGCAGGCAGGCAGGCAGGCAGGTAGGTAAGCAGGCAAGCAGGCAAGCAGGCAGGCAGGCAGGCAGGCAGGCAGGTAGGTAAGCAGGCAAGCAGGCAAGCAGGCAGGCGGGCAGGCAGGCAGGCGGGCAGGCAGGCAGGCAGGCAGCCAGGTGGCAGGCAGACAGACAGGCAGTCAGGCAGGCAAGCAGGCAGGCAGGCAGACAGGCAGGCAGGCAGGCAGGTAGGCAGGCAGGCAGGCAGGCAGGCAGACAGGCAGGCAGGCAGGCAGGCAGGCAGGCAGGCAGGCAGGCAGGCAGGCAGGCAGGCAGGCAGGCAGGCAGGCAGGCAGGCAGGCAGGCAGGCAGGCAGGGAGGCAGGCAGGCAAGCAGGCAGGCAGGCAGGCTGGCAGGCAGGCAAGCAGGCAAGCAGGTTGACAGACGGGCAGAGCTCATGCTGAAACAAGTATCGGTAATTAAACAAGTATCTCGTTAGACAAACTCATCGTTAAAAACGACGATGACTTGCGCTACGGTCCGCTTCGTTTCAATAAAGTGAAAAGACTTCACGTGACAAAAGTAACCATGGCCGTGATATATCATTGCAAGTTGAACATTGAAATCAGTAACTGCTCCAAATGATATTAATGTGTATTTATTAATTCGAAAAGGTTTGGCGCAATTGTGTGCGGTAATCTCGCAAAATGACATGGAAAGACAAAGACGACACTGTAAAACAACAAGTAATATGGATGAAAATATAACTTAAGGATTTTGTTCGTTTTTCAAATAGCATGGCAATAATAAGTAACAAAACATATCCATAGATGTTTTTAAAGCTTCAATTAAAACGCTACGAAATTAGGCCACGAAAACTTTGATGAACTTTGCTATCGTTACAACGTTACAGCGTGTTGCATATTGCCTATTGCAAGGCGCAGAGAACTCATGCCGTGTTGCAAGACAGACCTTATACGGATCCCGACGAGACTCAGTGCGGAACAAAAAGAACGACTGCGCTATATCATACGCGTTTGGTGAGTCTTACTGGCGATCGTCGAACACGAGCTACAATGTACGTTCAGTGCTTAAACATTCAGTGAGATTACACATTTTGCGTTTACACCACTGACGAAGATATATACATACGTATAAAGGTAATCTTATACGAAGGTACATACTATACTTCGTATAAGATTAGGAATTTGTCTTCTAATCTAATTTGTCATTTCATCTCTGACCCAACGATCGTCATAATCGCGCGTAACGTTACAAATTAAAGGTTTGTATTAATTACTCGTAAATTTCTATGTCTCTAGAAGCTTAAAATCTGAACGTTTACAAAGTCATGATATTGAATAGGACATTGGGAATCGTCGACATAAGAGGAATTTATCTCACAATTAAACTGTATCTGCTAAAAGCTACAAATCCGTACGTAGAGCTTTATAACGTCGAATGGCATTTCAAAGGGAGAGAATTATTCGCGTTAGTTGAAGCTCTACCGACCTATTAGGTACAATTGGGTGCGTGGGCAAAGTTAAACGTTAAATCGTTCCGCTAATCGTCACGATAGGAGACGATGCGACGGGACTGCTCGCCTACGTCTGAATTTCCTGTAAAGTCATGTCTGAAAAGAGCACCTCGAGAGGTCCTAGTCAGATGAAATCTAATGAATTTAATTAACAAATATGAATAAACATCGTCGATCTTTCCGTACGAGGATTTAGGCGAAACTGAAGTCATATTGACGTCGATCAAAAGAAGGGAGAATCGTCATAAACGCCATTTAACCTCATTTTACGTTGCCTTTCCAGAATTTACAAATGCAGTAATTATCATCACATCACAGAAACGAATAGGCACTAGTGCGGATATTACGGCAATCGCGCGTTTATGGCTTATCAATAAACGTCTCAGCTGCGACAACGCAGATTTTTCTCGCATTATGAACGTACGACATATTTTGACGATTATGATGTTAATGGTAAGCTGAACCTCGTGCTTAATTGTGAAAATACTGCCGTTCGAGTAGATGGCAGGAGATGGTACACAATAATCTTTCCTTATGATTCCTTATCGTAATTAATGTGTCTTGGTCATTTTGTGATCCTCCACACTCTCCAAAAAAAAAGTGTTTCTTTTTTTGTCGAGGGTGTAGAGGATCTTGATTCTCTTCGCCGGAATTTGAATTTGTCATCATTTCATTGTCAGAAGAAGCTTGAAAAGTTAGCTTTTGGATCTTACTATATTCTTGTACAAAATATTACACTTAGCATTTTATTTTCTCTTATTTTCCATTGGTATACGACATTGTATTAGGTGTACAAATTAATTCGATGCCTTTTTTCATGAAATTCAAAGTTTATTCACAAAAAGACAAATATATATTTAATAGTATTATGTTCGAATAATAATCTCCATTATTTTCAATGAATTTATTCCATCTTTCGAGCAACTGATGAATATTCTCGCGGAAGAAACTTGACGATTTGGATTCGATAAAGTCATCGATGCTTTTTCGGACTTCGTCAACTGTTTTAAAGTGTTCATCAGTCAGGTAATGTCAAAGTAACCGAATTAGCTGGTAGTCTGGACGAGATCTGGTGAATAAACCTGGTGTGAGGGAAAACTTCCCAGTCCAATGTATATATATAGATGACGTCCTTAATCCCTTTTGCGGTATATGGTCGAGCGTCGTCATACTGTAAAATCACTTGCCTACATCCGTTGCTAGTATAAGGCCTCTTTCGCTCCAACACGTCGCTCAAACGGATAAGTTATTGATGGTAAGATACTTTGCAGTAACAGTCTGGCCAGGATCCAGCAATTCGTAATGTACCATACCCTTCATATCTTACCCGATACTCAGCAAAAGTTTTTTTGCATGGATATTGGATTTCGGAGTCGATATCGACGGTTGACTGGCATCTATTATATTAACGAATTTCTGCGTTTAGGATTGTTATATAATACTCATTTTCCATCACCCGTAATGATTTTGTACTGTAGAAAATCTGTTCTTTTAAATCGAATCAGCAAAAATATTGCCGTGTCGAATCTTCGCTCTTTATTTTCCGGGCTCTGGCGGTGCGGTGAAACCCATTTACCCTCCTTCTAAATTTTACCGAGTTGGTACAGACGATGAGATATGCATTATTGAATAACTTCGAGTTTTAATGTAAGTTCCTGTTGAGTTCGAGCGGAGTTTTCAGTTTCAACAGTTGCTCGAGTTCCTCATCGTCAAATTTTTGTAGGTGACGTTGTGGATCCGAAAGATCCTTCATCTTCTGAAACTTTTGGTTTTTACTTTCACCTTTTACTTTTACTTACTTTTTACACGTTTTATGTGTAACAACGTCTCAACTCAGAACGGCACAAATTATTTTCATAGCTTCAGTAGCATTTTTCTTCAATTGAAATGCGAAAAGATTGTCTCAATGTCTCAAATGCTGCTTATTATCGGCTGCATCATCGTGTCCACTGCTGTTTCGTGAGGTTATGTCGCCTGCTTCGCCAAAGCATACAGTGTGAAAACTTGAAAACTTAGTTAGCACACACTTACAAACCGCAAAAGGGCGGGAAGATATTTAGTTTCAAACGGAGTTATAAGGCATGAAATGTAAAGGCACTGAATTAATTTGTACACCTAATAATATATAATTATTTTTATAAGAATTATTGACATTTGGTCTGATTCTCTGATACCTTGCACTAAATTTTAGTACATTTTTACAGGATTTTAAAGGTATGTTCACCAATCGAACAAGACTCGTTTTGTTTTCGTGGCGAAAAATAATGAACGGGAAGTGCATCGTAAGAACTTACTGAAAATATCGACGATCTCATACATATGCTACACGGTATAAAGAAATGACTTTTCTGAGATTTACACGCGAATTAATACTTACCATTCTTGTAGACTTCCGCGTTAACCAACGTCTCCTCATCGTCGGTGTCAGGCTCGAGGGACACTGGCGTGCATACGATTGAATCCCTCGATCTCATGTTTTTTCTCTTCAGTCGGTTCAATTTTCAGTATATTCGCTGTACATTCGATGACGAACTGAAACATAAAGTATAATTAAGAATTATATGTCGCGCATATATCTCTTTTGAATTTGCCCCGAGATTCTGGTATTTCAAGAGTTGTCATTCTTTCTTTAGGTAGAAAATATTCTATTTCCCACTTTACCTCTCTCGTAATTTTTTTAATTAGCAATTTCGACTCGATCTTGCATAAATTGTCTGACTGGGTGCGCGATTTTATTTCTGAGTTATTATAATCTGATATATTATGTTACCTCTACCTATATTTTAGAGAAGAGGAAAATTTTCTCTATCAAAATTATCGTATCATATAACGAATGAGTTGGAAAGTATTCAATATATACGATTCACTACGAAATTTCTAGATATTTTCTCGCCTAAGATAGTTTTCGCGTAACGCTAGACGATGGGTGAATCATCTCGTATAATTTAAAGTAATCATTCGATATATCGGCACAATTTGTCCTCCTTTTATTTTCCTTTTGTTCGTCATGTTCTAGAAGAGCCCATGGCAACCGGTTCCTCGTAACTTTGTTCACGGTTCCTCCTCAAGTTCGGGGTGTAGAAGTTATTTCGGGAGGCGCGACCGCCGTCACCGTCTGGGCGTACCGGTAGACGCCGTCATTCTTCTGGGATTTGATATCTTCGGGAGAAAGATTGTCTCTCTGAGAATGCTTCTACGATATATATTGTCGCTCAATATTTTCTCGTTTCACGCAATTGTAATTAAGGGACGCAGGTTTCTCGTCATTAATCTGCATTCGTAACAAGATTCATAAGAAACTCGATAAAAATATAATTTCGAATCATCCTCGTGCTCATTATCTTAGATAAAAAAGTATCGCAGCTATGAATACAGGATAATTGTCACTATTAGTTTCCCCCCCCCTTCTCTCTTTTACTTTGTCGCACAGAGAGACCGATGTAGAGCTCCATTCGGGATAGTAGCACTGCGGGACCACGCCTGTGTATGCTCGCAGGGGGTCCCGGATATACTTGGAACAAAAAAGGCGGAAAGAACCACAAGATCGATCGTTTCAGCGGCCGTTGCTCGTGACGCTTTCAAAGAAAAGTCCCGCTGAAGAAAGCCGCATTTACTAGACCAGCAGTAGTATAAAAGCGCAGAAAAGCCAGTCGATATTTCCGCACCTGCACCTGCTGATGGCGAGGAAAAATACGCGGTCAGATAAAGTGTAGTTTCAGTGATGATTCAAAATGGAATAGAATTCATTCCATTATACGAATGAAAAGTCACGATAATTGGAGTAGCTCGATTATCACTTAATTTTTGAGATGGAATTTCACACTCGAAGAAATTGAAGAAGAATTCAAACGTTCTCAACTAACGTAAATTATATGTTTAAGAGAGGCAAGAGAGAGAGAGAGAGAGAGAGAGAGAGAGAGAGAGAGAGAAGATGAAAGCAAGAAGAATCATTTCGTACAAATGATAATTCGTTTATCAACAATTTTCGACATCTTATCCCGATGAAATAAATACTCGCGACCGAAGCGTCTGCGTGTCGCATCGATCAAAGTCGATATACTCCGTGCGAGCGCGGCTACGTTAAGGTCTGCGCTTGTTAAGCAAATTAAGTAATTAAGTTACGGACGAAATAATTTGCATGATGGTATGCTAACGTGAAAAATGGAAAGTAACGTGGGATACTACCGACAGGATATGTTAGCATCCGTTTCATTCCAGATTCTGTCAATGAGTTCTCACATAATACGTCTTTGTTGAGACTAATGCCGTGTTCTCGCGCTATTGATCGCGTTTATGACAATGCATATTCGTCTAATCGACGATCTATAATACGACGACAAGCCAACTTGCTTGTACCACATACGATTGTATGTAGCGAAGGCGCGCGGAAATTTGAATTTACATCAGTGTTAATCCGTTTATTACTGCTTCATCGCTAGAGATCCGTGCCAATAAAGGACTTTGCTCGCGATGCTACCTCAGCTTAGATATCTCTCTTGGGCTTAGGATATCCCAAATCACGTGAGCTGTTCCTTGACGGCTGTTCGTTTCGGGGTGAACGAACTCTACTTCCCCTAATCGGAGACGACACGTTCTACCTCTCTGCCGCAGACGTGCACGCACGTGCTATACTCCGTATAGCGATGTGTGCAATGCGATCAGAAGTTACGATGGGAGTTGTCTATAAAGTCTAAACCCTATTACTACATGGTTTATGCACCTGATGATCCTGCAGAGGATGGCGAAGGTAAATTGACAAACCTAAATTGCCGTCATTAGCATCAGTCCTTGTCCGAAGTTGTTAGTTATATTTATATTTATCTAAGAAACGAGATCGAAACAAGATTCCTGATCGATCTGCGCTTTGATCTGTTCCTTCGTGTGACGCGTCACATGACAACGTCGTACGATAACGCGAAATCTTTGAATGAGTGACTTACGACATTACGGATCGCGAATTTGCATCGTTATGGTTTTATGTTTATTTAGAGATCAACATTCTCGAGTCTGCAAGAGTTTCCCATAAGATTCCACTTCATAGAGTCTCATGCCACTCGCCTCAGTTTCGACTTTGTTCCCTACCCCTTCGCACTGCAGTTGGAGCTGAGCTAGGCGTGCGAG